GATGCGTGCGTGCCCGAGCACGAGGACGGTGGCTTTGTGCTGTCACGGAGGATTAAGCGCGTGATGGGACCCAGCTCGGCCCTGCGCCCCGGTTCTGCCCTCGCCTGTTCAGATCTTGCCCCATCACCCCGGAGTTCTCTAAACCCAAGAGTACTTGTCTTTATTAAAAACATCACTCGTGACTTTCGTGGCCTGTTCTTTGGAGCCGTGTGTTCCTCTGCTGTACCTCCGCCGTTGCGGGCCAGGGAAGGTGCGCTGTGACACTGTCTTTTTTTGTTCCTCGACCCATTCCACCAGCCGCACCCCAGCAGCGCCTAGGTGACCGGTCCTGCGTATCCGAGGAAACAAGATAGAAAAATGAGGATTGGTTGGGGGCAGAGCGGTGTTTAAGCAGTGTTGATTCAATCCGTCTATTTAGAAAGTAACTTCACTAGCTTTACTTTGAAAAAAAAAGGAGTCCTCGACAAAAGCAATCTAAAAATGAATAGTCCAGTGGGATTTAGTAGAGGGTTTACATTTTAAATTTTGGACTTTTTTCCAAGTCGTGACTCCATATTTTATCCCGAGCATCCTCTCTTTGCTATGTTATTTATCTTTCAAGGATGCTAAACCTGTCTTTCCAAAGAAGCGGTCTCTGCTCGTCTGTTGTAGCACGCCCTGCATGCTAACCTAGGCACCGTGGATCACGGTTTGAAGGTTATTGAGCGTGTTACAGAAGGACGAGATCCTTGACTGCTGGAAGACCGTGGCGGTGTAAAGGGTTAGCATGGCGATCTAATATAGTCATAGTTTGATTGGCACTGCCTCGATTTCCCCCTGCCAAAGACTGTTCTTTTCTTCTAGCTTTAACAAGAATGCTTGGCTATTGTAGAAGACACAGAAAATACAGAAATAGTATAAAAAGTTTAAAAACCTGGGAACCAGCAGTTTGCGCAATGGCTATGTCGCTGGACTCCCACGTGGTCGACCGTGGTTCCCTTCCCGGACCCGGTGGCTTAAAACTCACGCGGGGCGCGTAGGGATTGCGGCGTGACCCCCCCTCTGGGCGGTGATTTCTCGCTTTCTGACTCTATGTCTCTGAGTGGCGAGCGCACGCGCCCTATAGCGAAAACCTCTCCCCCCAAAAAAGTTTAAAAACCTAAAATATCATTACTAGAGATGACCCCTGCTATTTTGGTACATTTCAGATCTCTGTGTGTGTATATTTTTTACAACCTCAGTATCATAATGTGTGGTTTCGATTCTAGTTAGGGGAAAAAGGAGAGGCGGCCGCACCTCACCGATAATTGGCCAGTTTGCGGAGTTTTCTCCCATTATTTTGAAGAGGTATCAAGAAGCCCTCTAACTAAAATAATTGTTCTATTTTGAGTCATTTTACTTTCCGAGAGCATAGCCTCATTGAGGGAATAGGGTTCTGGGTAACAGAATTGATGAAGTGGGTAAGGACTCCGAGGCTTTCGCTTGGTTCCCCAATCCTTTTACATTTTAGGCACCGGTAGAACCCGGGAACTGCGGGGTTTCACTTGGTAAAAGTGATCTGGGAGGAACGATCGTCCTGTCATGGCAGTGTTTGACTTGTTCGGTCAGTTTGTTTTGAACTTGAATGCTGATGTACTTTGACCCGTTGCCACTAAAATACACAGAATGCGGACACACCCAGCCTAGCCATGTCTCACAAGCGAATGCATTGTTTGCTATTAAGTTGTCGCAGGTACTTGAATACAGTACTGAAGAGAACTTGCTCTACTGTCTACAAAGAGCCAGTGAGTTAAGAAAATGGAAGTGTTTGCTACAACCTAACCTTCGCGGGAGGAATGGCCCCGGGGATTGTCCCTGGAGATGGGGTAGGGGTAGGAAGCAGGTGGCAGGTTTCTGGATTTTCTTGTCTCTGTCCACACTGGTGTTGCTTTCCTCTTCCCCTCCTCCAGGGTTAAGTTGTTTGCATGGGTAGTCGAATCCCTGCCCAAGGGTTTCTGCACACACTTGTGCACATTTTAAATTTGTTCAGAATTTGTGCTTTGTAGGAAGCAGGTGTAAGGAGGTTCTTCCTGGATAACTTGGAAATCGGTTAGGCAGTTGGGGGAGGGGAGAGGAAAAGGGAAGAGGGAGGTTACAGATGATCTCCGTTTGTAGTCTGCCCTCCCTCCGTCCACGTCCACGGGTCCCACCAAGTGGGGATGGAGTTGGTTGAATCCTCAGATGCAAGCCCCAGGAGGACCACCTGACTAGCCTCTTAAAAGGCCTTCATATAAAGGACCTGAGCATACCTGGGGCCTGGCAGCATCCGCAGGGTCCTGGAGCCAGTCTCCGTGGATCCCAGGGGACAAGTATACGGTCACAGCAAAATTAGTTAAATGTAAAAACGGGCTGGCAGGTAGTTAAGGCACCCGACACCCACATGGCCAATCGTGGCTCAAGTCCCAGACCTGGTGGATTGTTTTCTCACTTTCTCTCGCTCTCTTTTTCTGGTCAAATTAATAATAATAATAAACGAAATAAAATAATTTTTATAAAAAATGAAATGTAAAAACAAGCACCATGAAATCAGCACCCCACGATTCCTTTGAGAACCCGAAGGCCATGCTGTGCTCTCCGCGGCTTCACTGCCGTCTGATGTTAGTTGTCTTTACCGGGGACAGTGAAGCTAAACGCTTCCCTCTTTTTTTTTTTTGGAGAGAGATTTTCACTGTAGGGCGCGTGCGCTCGCCAGCCAGCCAGAGAGAGACATAGAGACAGAAAGCGAGAAAGCACCCCCCAGGGGGGACGGTCATGCCACAATCCCTTCTCCTCCATTCTCCTCTCGGGATCTTGGGCACGCACGCACACGCGCCTGGTGTGAGTTTTAAGCCACCGGGTCCGGGACACGAACCGCGGTCGACTAAGTGGGAATCCAGCGACATAGCCATTACGCTAACTGCTGGTTCCCAACGCTTCCCTCTTTTTTAAGACAGGGTCTGTGTGTGGCTTCCCTTCTGCCTCAGCCTCCCAGCTGGGACTACAGACACAGCCGCCAGCCGGCTCTTGTGTATTTTTATATTTATTTATTCATTTAATTTGCTATAGTATGTGTGTGCTTGCCTGAGAGAGAGGGGGGGAAATGAACAAGTACCTTCCCCCGAGATGGCCACGCCACAATCCCTTCTCTTCCATCCTGCCTTGGGATCTGGGCAGGTCTGCACTCACACCAGTGTGTGTTACCAAGCCTCTGGGCCCAGGACTCAAACCGCACAGTTGGCAGCCATGTGGGATCCAGTCACCTTAACCGGCACCCCACTTGGCTGGTCCTTTTTATTTGTCAGGTTTGGTCTCTCTATACAGGGGGGAGCTTCCTGCCTCCGACCGTGGCGGCACCAGGGTGACAGGCGTGCACCATCACGCCCGGTCTCTGGGTTGGACAGGGAGTGCCGGGCCTCCCACGTGGTCCCAGTCTGTGAAACACTGTGTGTGGCTGCTCCACGGGCCCCCATTTCGCCTGCATCCTTCACTGTCCAGGTCTGCTGCTCTGATGTGACCCTTCCTCCTACCTGCTGTGCCCTTAACCCACACTGTCCGGTGTGGCCAGCGGCCGTGTGTGGCAACCCCGCCCTGGACGTGTTGTGCTGAGCGTGACACAGACGCGATTTCGAGATTCAGTATGAAAACAGATCTGCTTCTAAAATGTCGATTACGCGCTGCAATGATATGTTGAAGAGACTGGGACGAATAAGAACTATTACAGTTAATGTCGGCCATTTCTACTTGCTAAACTGCGGCCGCGAGAACGTCTGAATGCGTGGGGTCTGCATTTATGTTCCAGCGCTATCGTTGAACAAGTCAGTTTCAGGCCGAAGGGGGCACTCTCGGGTAGTAAGAGAAAGTGTGTTATCTTTGTTTTCTATAGTTTCAACACATAGGGACCGCTTAGTGTTTAGCCCGATCTGTTTTCAGTACTTATACAATAGTGCTCACAAAAGCTTGACTCTTCTTTTGAAGACTACCTTAATCTCAGACCCACTTCCAGATAGTTGACTTCACTGTTATTGAATTCATTTATTCAATTAATCCTTTGAACTTAAAGCAATCAAATGACAGCTGCGAGTACCTACTCCATTTTTTAAAACTTGACCTAAGCATAATCAGCAGAATATTCCCGAACTTGGTCTGCTAGTTATTCATTGATTTAAAAACAATTAAAATACATTTTGAAATGATTTTAAAAATCATTGACTATTTTTGAAAACTTTAACAAAAAGTTGAGGAGAAACTTGAAATTGAAACTATCAAGCTCGCATTGCTTTGTTCTTTGTGACTTAGGAAAAGGCCATAGTAGTTTAATTCTGAGGCAGAACACTGGGACCTGCTCACAGGACAGCTGGAGTCTCAGGGTGCAGATGAAATCCAT